AAGAGAAACATTTGGCATAGAGACCGATACGCACTAGGTGATCAGTAATCACTATTTTTATTGTTCTTTCTCCGCCTTTCAGGATCAGAACTCAACTTGAAGCTTGTCTGTCTTGGGTGATTCGTGGTTCCCGTTAGTAACGTTTATCTACTACACACAGGAATCCATTCCTCCTCTTAAAGACTTTGTTTTCAGGTCAACTGAAATAACCAAACACTGATCCACATCAAGAACTCCCACAAAATCCATCTGTGGCCCTTTTAAACATCAATGGCGAGCCTTCTGGGAGGCTGAGGCGGGCGGATTGCTCAAGGTCAGGAGTTCGAAACCAGCCTGAGCAAGAGCAAGACCCCGTCTCTACTATAAAAATAGAAAGAAATTAATTGGCCAACTAATATATATATAAAATTAGCCGGGCAGGGTGGCGCATGCCTGTAGTCCCAGCTACTCGGGAGGCTGAGGCAGAAGGATTGCTTGAGCCCAGGAGTTTGAGGTTGCTGTGAGCTAGGCTGACGCCACGGCACTCACTCTAGCCTGGGCAACAAGCGAGACTCTGTCAAAAAAAAAAAAAAAAATGGCGAGCCTTCTTTCCCTGTGGGATGAAAGCTGATCTTGTCCACAGAAAGTGGGCATGCGTGGGGTGGGGGCTGGGAACTGGGGTCTCCTGCACCACTAAAAAGATTCTAGTGTTCAGATTTTCCTTCCAAGTGCACCCTGAACTGGTCAACACCTACATCACCAAAGCCGCTTTCTCCTCCCTCCTGCCTGTGTCTGCTTCAGGAAATCGGTGAGTCAGGTTATATTTGGGAGAGGGTTTGCTATACTTTTAAATATTTTTTATTTTATTTTTACTTTTAAAATTTTTATGCTAATTTTTACACAGTTTTATATGTTAAAACAAACAGAAAATCACTATAAAATTTATCAGTAATTATGACTGGTGAATTTATCATTAGTAAGAACTATTAAAGCCATATGTTAGAGACTATTCCAGAGTGATTATTTACAGTTCATAAAATATCGTGATTAAACCATTTTATCAATATGAAATATAAACATTGGAAAGTATTTAACCACAAAGTTGATGAGGCTTTTTAACTTTTAAAAAGTAGTCTGTTATATCTACCTATCAATGAATAGATGAGTGTGTAATGAAAAAGCACACTACTTACCTGTCCGTGCATCTGTTAAACACCTCACAAAGCTGCACTCAGAGTGAGTATGGTTGAAGGAGCTTCTCAGAGCAATCGCCACATTGGAAAGGGACATGTGTGCAGCACTGACCAAGGACAGAAGGAGAGAGGGTGTGGTGCAAAGGGATGAACCAAGTGAGGACAAAGAAGAAGGGAGCTGAACTCAGTGTTCTAAATGGGATCCCCAGGGTGGTAGCTGAAAGAGACCTCATTAAAATTCTCATTCTTAGCAGTTTAGTTAAAGAGATGAGGTCCAGACAGGAGGTGAGCACTAAAACATGGCCTCCATGGACCACGGGGCAAGGACCTCTAGTCAGAGCTTGTGCGCCCCAGAGGAAAAGCAGCATTCTATCCCCATCTTATCCCTTCCTCATGCCTGTTAAGCCTCTAAACCCTTGCCGATTGCGTAGAGACTTACTTGCAACTGCACACCTGATTCTCTGGTTCCATCCAGTTTGGCGGGGCTCACGCCTGTGGTGTTGCCTCCACTGGCCGCCAGCAGCCTCCTGCCCATCCTCTGAGACTCTGCCCAAGCGTCATCTTCCTCGGCCTCTCCTTCCCCTTGCCCTGACCTCAGCCTCAGAGGCTCCACCCCCACGTCTCCCTGTGGTCCTTCTCTTCATCCATCTACCTGTCATCTGTGCATTTGGGAATGGCATTCAAGATCTTTAACAACTGGTGCAGCACAGGCAGTGCCCTGTCAGAACACAAGCTGGCTGTTTCCGTACCAGAGTGGCCACTTCTCAGCCTGGGGAGGAGATGTGACTTTCACCTACAAGACGGTGAACCCTTTAAAAATAGGGGCTGTGTTTCATTCATCGATATACCGCCAGTGCCCGCAGATGGGAGATGTTCAATAAATGTCTGTGGACTGTCATTTCCATTCACTGAAAGAAAACAGCTTACGATGCATCTTTAAGAAAGCACGTTACATTTGCCTCTGATAGCTGCATGTTAAATTCGTGTAATATGAACCAATGGAGAAAGAGACATGTTCTAGTCACAGATTCTCGATGTTTGCTTACAAACATGCTTCTTTGTCAAACCCTTCCATTCGCTGAGAGAAAGCAGTTTATGATGCATCTTAAACAAAGCATGCTTACATTTGCCTTTTAAAAATAAATAAATGTTTGTGGTTTGAATGAAAAGGCTAAAATTACTTGACAAAGGCAGGATGAGGAGGCACAGTCCCCTCGCTTTCAGTCACCTTGGCTGGTTGTCCTCTAATGTAATGCCCACACCTATGCCTTACTCTAGTTGTGTATGTCTGTATGATAGTCAAACGAGGCAAAATCTAAAATAATAATAATAATAATTATATTCTGGGCTTCCAGAAGCTAACCATAAATGCCCCTAAAGGTTTAGGTAACTAATTAAACATTTGTAAATTCTGGTCCCTTATAAAGCCCGTGACCTCCAGGAACAGCACCCCCTACCCCACCCTCCAGAGCCCAGTAAGTTTCACTCGCACAGATTCCTACCACTTTTTAAAAATTTAACCAACCCAACAAATGACGTTATTTTAATGGCTGTTGAATTATGATATGCCCCTCTCTTACTATCAGGAGTTAATGAAGGAGTATACGCTTGTTCTAAAAATACATAATTGAAGAAAATTTCTCTCGGGGCCCAAAAATTAAAATAGAGGCATTAGACGGTCTTCTAGCAAAATCACACGCCAGCCACGCTCCCAAGGCATCAGATCAGCACCAAACAGCCCTCAGCTCAAGGCAGTGCTGAGGACAGCACTCCGGTGAGTCTAGGGTCCCAGGCGGCACTAGGGTACGGGCTCCTTCACTGGCATTGCCACCGGCTTGGCTTTGTTTTACATAACAGACTGGAGCACTCATAAATGGGGACCTGTGCTAAATACAACGTGCATTTTATTTTCCATTTTGTAGGATGCACATGTCATTTGTCATGAAATTTTTTAAAAAATTCCCAGAAGCACCATCCTATAGCAATAAAATGTTGTTTTAATCAAAAGTGTGGTTGTTCTACATGAGAAGGAAGTTCATAAAACCATTCAGTGTCAAGGTCTGAGGGCCGGTTCTTAAACACTGTTGAAGGAGGAATTTTGCAGTTACAGAAAAGATGAAAGGACAGGCCTGGTGGGACCCAAAGCAGAACCGTGGATCTTGTGATATAGCACACATTCTACCACGACCTATTCTAACCAGGAAGGTTTTGAAGGCACATTACAGCACTAGACAGACCCAGAAAAAACATAATTCTATACCAAGCTGTAGACAAGAGATCTGGACACTCCCAGCTTGGTGCTACCCTGACTCTCTAATAGGCTCTCTGGGCAAAGGCATGGGCTAGATCTCCCAGCTTTGACTGGAGGGTGTATTTCTGTCCAGTAGGTAGACTCTGCGGCTAATTCTTACAAAGTGAGCTTTATTGGATGCGTGAATGGATGAGTGAATGAATGAGTGAAAAGCCCAAATAAAGCTGATTTGGGAGAACTCTGATGTGAACATGAAAAATCCCTCTGCTTTAGAAGAGCTGACAGGGGAGATTGTATCCTATTTACCTGACACATATGGGAGTAGAAAAGTAATGAGCTTTCTTAAATGTTGTTTTCTGTAACACATTACTGAGGTCCTGCATTTTATTGTGGTACACATCTTACTAGGTTGTCTATATTTCTATATTAAGTATAAAATCCAAACAAACTGTCCCTATGAGGTGATCAGAGTGTAATCTATCTTAAAATGGAAGGAAAGCTAATACTATTCTCATTGTGTAGATTTGAATAACTACAAAGAGCTTTGATGTTATAATATTGTATGTGCATCTTAAAAATCAAAATATTTTAAAAATCAGGTCAAATATATAACTTTCAAATTTATCTTATCACTTCATTTTGGTCATTGTTGTGTAACTCAAGAGTTGCTGCAAATAAATAAAATTTTATCATCTGCATTTTGACTAATAAATCATGCAAGACAGTTGGCATTCAGTCACTAGGAAGTCAACATAAACCCAATAAACCTAGTGCTATGAATAATACCTAGGCATAGTAAGTGCTTAATAAAATTTATTTATTAGAAATTTACATCAGAAACAAAATTTGTTGTGGTTTCCCTTATTGATCACTCTATTGCTTTCACTTGATCTCTGATGGATTAGAAGTCTATTAAATATCTCTACATTTTGCATGATATAAATGCATTATAATTATAGCTATCAGACCACCCTTAGTCATTTATTATTTTCATTACTTAAAACAGTTTCTATCATGATGACATTGTATGGGATTAGGAATCTAATGGGAAAGAAAATCTTGAAAAAGTGAAGTATGCAGAGTCAGAGCCCACATCTGAACAATGTATTGAGAATGAAAAGCTAAGCTAGCATGGAGCAAACAGGCCCTGAGGGCAGGGTAAGGAGGGAGTGCTTGCTCCAGCCACACTGCCCATGCCTGGCCCTCACTGTCTTTCATCTTGCTTTCCTTTCCCACCCCCACTGCGTCATCATAGTTATCTGGGGAGCTCACCAGGCAGGGTGGCGGCCGTGTGTGGGTTGCCTAATTACAGTAACCTGAGATGTCTTTATGGAGGGAAGTCTAATGATTGATATAATCATCACCACCATGATTAATACCTCAAAAGTGACCACACCCAGCAATGCTGGGAACTGGTGGGATCGGACATGGGCGTGGCCAGTGTGTTCCTTTAAATACCTGTGGTCCTAGCATAGGCTCCCCTCTCTGAAGGCAGTTCTGGGGTGTTTTAGGTCTGTTTTTTCTCTGTCTTGCACATTATACTCTATAGTTGACTTCTGTTCATCCATCCTGAAGGTTCCAGCCCGCACCATGACTGATGATGAGCTGTCTGCCTTGGTAGTGGATAATGGGTCAGGGATGTGCAAAGCAGGCTTTGGTGGTGACGATGCCCCCCGGGCTGTGTTCCCCTCCATGATTGGGCGTCCCCGCCACCAGGGGGTCATGGTAGGCATGGGCCAGAAGGACTGCTATGTGGGGGACGAGGCCCAGAGCAAGAGAGGCATCCTGACCCTGAAGTATCCTATTGAGCACGGAGTGGTCACCAACTGGGACGACATGGAGAAGATCTGGTATCACACTTTCTACAACGAGCTCCGCGTGGCACCAGACGATCATCCCATCCTCCTCACCGAGGCACCCCTGAACCCCAAGATCAACCGAGAAAAGATGACCCAGATCATGTTTGAGGCCTTCAACGCACCTGCCATGTACGTGGCTATCCAGGCTGTGCTGTCCCTCTATGCCTCGGGACGGACCACGGGCATCGTGATGGACTCTGGGGATGGGGTCACTCACACCGTGCCCATCTACGAAGGCTATGCCCTGCCGCATGCCATTCTACGTCTGGATCTGGCAGGCAGAGACCTGACTGATTACCTCATGAAGATCCTGACAGAACGAGGCTATAACTTCACCACCACGGCTGAGCGGGAGATTGTGCGAGATGTCAAAGAGAAGCTGTGCTACGTGGCCATGGACTTTGAGCAGGAGATGGTCAGTGCGGCTGCGTCTTCCTCACTCGAAAGAAGCTATGAGCTTCCTGACGGGCAGGTGATCACCATCGGGAACGAACGCTTCCGCTGCCCTGAAGCTATTTTCCAGCCTTCCTTGCTGGGCATCGAGTCCAGTGGGATCCACGAGGCAACCTTCAACTCTATCATGAAGTGTGACGTGGACATTCGCAAGGATCTATATGCCAACACCGTCTTGTCTGGAGGCAGCACCATGTACCCAGGCATTGCTGACCGCATGCAGAAGGAAATCATAACCCTGGCACCCAGCACCATGAAAGTCAAAATCATATCTCCGCCAGAGCGCAAGTATTCCGTGTGGATTGGGGGCTCCATCCTGGCCAGCCTGTCCACGTTCCAGCAGATGTGGATCAGTAAGCAGGAATATGATGAGGCTGGTCCTCCCATCGTGCATAGAAAATGTTTCTGAATGGGCTTCCATCTTAACGGGTTTACATTTTCCCTTTTCCTGGGTCACAGTGATGGTACTGCTTTTATCCGCTTCGAACAGGATCAAGGTAAATAGCTCACTCTTCCTAGTGCCTAAACCAGCAAACCCACCTGTCCATCCAAGTATCCCGGGCTCTTGGCCCGCTAACCACGTCTTGATCTCTATCAGCTGAAGGTGAATTCTAATACTATATTCTATCTTTTTTCAGCTACACAGTTTAAAGAGAAGTAGGCCTGCTTAAATGAAAATAATTGGCAAGCAGTAAAATTATGAGAAATGTCATTTCAGAATGGATAACTAGAATTTTCAAGCTTTAAAACCTAGTTCTGACTAAGATATTTAACAATAACAGGATGTACAAACCTGTAAAAAAATGTGTATTCCTTTAGCAACCATGTCTTATTTAAGTATTTGTGTTTTGTTTACTTCTTTGTATGAAGACAGTGAATTATATAGGTCAATAGTACTCATTTATACATAAGCACCAGAGAAATAAAATATTATATCATAAAATATACTGCTCTTTCTGGTCATCTGAACAGCTAATGTGAATTTCTTTGCTTGCCCATAGTCACCATTTCATTAGCTGCATATTTTGTTTCCCTTATTAAATAAGCATAATGAAACAGCCAACATTCCATTCATGTTGTTTAAAAATCAACTAAATTTTCAGCTCTAGAGTGGAGTTTTGCTGGTCAAACACATATGTTAATGTGTTACTTATTGAACTTCATCATACTTGTAAAACAGCAAAATTACAAATAATGCCTAATTTTTAAAAGAGATATTATAATATCAAATTAATGTAATTATGCTACAGTTTGACAAGGATAGTTTTATTTCTGTTTCTTAGCATCATAACATGTCTTGAATAATTTCTGTAGACCATGACTTTGGCTATTTCTCTTATACAAGGATTTCACTGTAGGAAAACATAGCTACAGCTATGTTAACATAGCTGCATCTTTGTTAACTAGAAATTTTAGTATCAGTATAGTAATCTCAATTTTATTCTTGGAAAGATTTCACAATAGCTCTGCTTTATTATGTCCAGTCACTAGCAATACTTCTTTATGGAGAGAATCATTAAGATATCAACATCTTAAAAAATATCAGCATATCTTCCTATAATGTCTAAAATTTTATAATGAATCCAATGTTTATTTATCAACCAATTTTAAGTACTGATACATTTATTTCCATCTATGCTATGATTTCTGATTATCTGATTATCAGGAATATTTGCATTTTTCTGATATAATTTTTGAAAATTTAAAATATCTATTTGGATTGTTTATTAAGGCATTGTCAGGTTCTCAGGAAGAAGGAATCTCTTCTTCTCTTTTCCTCTTAGTTAGGAAAACTATACTTGTGTTTTAAATCTCTAAACTGAAATCTTTAAATATTTTTTGTTTAACATAACACTTCTCAAATAATTTGATTATTTTTTATTTCCTTTATCTTACAACATAATTTTTAAAATGCATTTAACCAAAAGTAATCTCCACAGGCACTTTATTTTATAAGATTTGGAGTCTCCTTTCACAAAATTAAAATTGCATCATACTTACATACTTGGATTTCCTGTTATTTCCCCTCAATCTTTCCCTTAGAACTGGAGAATGATCCAGAGAAGATCATTTCTTATATGTGTGATCTATTCATCTGTGTGTTACAATCTTGCACATAGTACATTTGACAATGTAAACATTAAAAGGCAAATTTAAAAAAAGAAAGATGGCTTGTCAGATAAGATTACAGATTCCTCATAATCTCAATTAAAAACTTAGGGTTTAGTGGATGAACTGGTCCTCAGGTAATTAGTAGGCAGAGATAATAGCAATAATAATAATAATAATAACTGGATTTATATGCTGCAACGCTTTCCATTTGCAGAGTGAGTAGTTCTCACAAACATTCTGACCTACATTCTGAATTACCAGAAAAAAAATACATCTCCCTACCCACAGAAAATTTATGGGACAGGTAAGGTGAATGAACTTCCAAGAGAGTGAGCAATAGAACTCTGCAACACGAATCCCATAATGCAAACAGAAACCTAAACCTAGAGTCTCTGGATATTTACCCATTTATCAACATTGGCTGACGGATGGATGAGTTTGATGAGGAAATAGCCCATCTCACAACTTCATATTCTAGAACTAAGACCATATCTTTAGGTAACACAATTGGCAGTGATTCACAAGTCTGGCTCATCAACAAATTACTTGAAGAACTTTATATAAATATAGATGCCCTGGCTTTGGACTCAGAAATTCTGGTTCAGTAGATGTAGGACTAAGAATCCAAGGGTGCAGCCAACTAGAGAAATCACTACTCCTAAGAACTCAGAGCCTACAGCACATTGCAGACTTCAAGGACAGAAAAAGACTCTGGCATTTGCCCCATCCATCTTCCTGCTAAGACAGGACAGCCTTCTCAAGTGAATTTCACCCATTGTAAATGATTTCACTCTCCCTCGTTCATGCATCCTGAGGAGCAATCTAAGGCTGGAGCTGCACCACAATCCTCCACAAACTGTTATTTCCCAATCTTAGGTAGTATTTTTCTGAAAACATACTTGATCCAAAGCCAATTCCCACACTCTTCTTCCCCAACATATAGATGTGCTTATTTTTCAATAATGAAAAAAAGTAGTCCTGGGATACAGGTTGGACTGTATCCTAGATAAACAATTCACAGTTCTGTCATACAGAGGGGCCTGGATATTAGCCTTACATTTTCCAGAAAATCAAAGGATAATCCGGTGGGTGACAAGGACTTTATCACATTTGCTCACTCATTTCACAACTATTAATTCAACATCTTATGTCAGCATGTACTAGAGAAGTGTTTCAAGGGCCTTGGGGAATTTATAATCCAGTAGTAGAGGAAACTATGTACAGTGTAGAGCAGCATAACCTAAGGGCAGTTCACAAACTAAACAGTCTGAGGTTGTATGATAATTCAAGCAGGATATTTCGAATGCAAGGTGATCAAAGAAGGGTTCACAGAGTAGATGGAGTCACTGATTTAAGTCTTAAAGCACACACAAGTTGTATCGAACATAAAACATTTCCTTAGATGGCTCAGGCACCATTATGATGAATACTTATTGGAGTTGGTAGGGAAGTTAATTCTTGTTTTGAATATTGTCTTTGGACTTGACCCAAAACTATTTAAAAACGTGGAAAAGTATACAACTTTTAAGGCTCAGTTCAAATGTCATCTTTTCTATGGAGCCTTTTCTAGCCTCTCCTCCCCCTTTCCAAGAAAAAGTGACAAGCTGCTCCTTTATGATCCTACTGCATTGTTTTTGTTTTTATTTCAGAATATTATAGGGGTGCAAATGTTTTGGTTACATAAATTGTTTTTGTACCATTTGAGTCAAAGTTATAAGTGTGCCCATCCCCCAGATAGTGTGCACTGTACCCATTAGGTGTGAATTTACCCATCCCTTCCTCTCCCCTCCCACCTACTTGATTTCTGATTAATGTTATTTCCATATGTGCACATAAGTGTTGATTGATTAGTTCCAATTTAATGATCAGTACATGCAGTGTTTGTTTTTCCATTCTTGTGATACTTCACTTAAAAGAATTGTCTCCAGCTCCATCCAGATTAACACAATAGGTATTAGTTCACCAATTTTTATGGCTGAGTAGAACTCCATGGTATACATATACCACATTTTATTAATTCACTCATGTATTGATGGACACTTGGGTTGTTTCCACATCTTTGAAATTGTGAATTGTGCTCCTATAAACATTTGAGTGCAGGTGTCTTTTTTATAGAATGTCTTTTTTTCCTTTGGGTAAATATCCAATAATGGGATTGCTGGATCAAATGGTAGTTCTACTTTTTAGTTCTTTAAGGAATCTCCATGTTACTTTCCATATAGGTTATACTAGTTTGCAATCCCACCAACAGTATATGAGTGTTGCTATCTCTCTGAATCTGCACCAGCATTTATTGTTCTTACATGTATATATTAATAGCATCATAAACACATCGCAAACCTACTTTATTGTTTACATGCATGTAGCATCATAAACACATCACAAGCATGTATTCACACTCTCCACCCTCATACAACCAATAAGCACCCAGAGGACAGAGACAGGGACAGTATTTATCTAGCTTTGAATCTTCTGGGATTGTCCTAGTACTAGACACATAGTATTTAAAAAACATGGTTTATCAATAAACCATGCAATAAGTTGGTGAATTCTTAGATTCTGGTGTACCTTGTGAACATCACAGTTCTGTACTATTTCTTACCAATCTATTATTAACTCCTTGTCTGTTAGCATCTCCCTCTTTTGTTGGTATTATCTTTTTTCTGAGGCATGGTTTCTCTTTTTCCTTTCTTTCTCTCTTCTCTTCCCTTTTCCATCCACTTCTCCCATGCATATCAACAAGCAGGGCTGAATTTTAATAATCTTTGGCTTGTCAGTAACAGTTTTCCATTCTTCTGATTGGTCAAAAGATAGATCAACCTCAGTTTTTGAAGTGTTTGCATGCTATGTGGCTGCTGAAATTTAGAAAAAAAAATGAAAGGAAGAGGACACAGGAAGAGGAGGGAGAAAGAGAAGGAAAGAACACAGGAAGGAAGGAAGGAAGGAAGGAAGGAAGGAAGGAAGGAAGGAAGGAAGGAAGGAAGGGAGGGAGGGAGGGAGGGAGGGAGGGAGGGAGGGAGGGAGGGAGGGAGGGAGGGAGGAGGGGAGAGAGAGAGAAAGAAAAGAAAGAAGAATGAAAGAATAAGAGAAAGAGACATAAAGAAAGAAGGAAAGAAAGAAAAAGAGAGGAAAAGAAAGAAAAGAGAAAAGAAAAGAAAAGAAAAGAAAGAAAAGAAAAAAGAAAAGAAAAGAAAAGAAAAAAAAGAAAAGAAAAGAAGGACTTTCACTGAGTACAATAGTACCTTCAGCTCTTCTAATTTATCTGCATTCTTGCTGATATTTTTCCCTTCTTGTCTAAGCTCCCAATTGCTCTAGAGTTGAGAGTTTCAGGTATCTGACTCCCTAATAACTCAGACATTATAATATATTTAAAAGTGTGCCTTTCTGGTAACTATTCACAGCCTCCTTCCAGAATTTATAAGATTCCTTTCAAAACATGTTTGAAGTTAGGAACTAAGCATGTGGTTTACCCAATAGTG